CTACTACTCTTAGACTATATTAAAACCTATAGCTATAAGATCTTACTTAATATAATTAGTCTTATAGACTATCTTAATCTTCTCTTTTCTAGTATAGCTTATTACTATCATAATTTTCTTAGATACTTAGTAAATATTGGTCTTATAAAACATAAATAGACTAGGTAATTTTTTTATTATAAATAGTAGCTATACTAGATATATATTCTACTAATAAGAATTCTTTAAGTTTATTTAATCTTTAAACTTTAGTAAAGTAAAAATAGTTATAGATATTAATAATTATACTCTAAAGCTTTATAGTAAAGAGATAGTTAAGCTACTAATATAAAAATTAACTAGTAATATTAGTTAAATAGAAATAGTTTATATAATCTATTATCTTAATATTACTAGAAATCTTCTCTTTAGTATTAGCTTTATATATTATAGATAGAAAGTTAGTTTAACTTTTAAGAGACCTAGACTAGTATTAATTATATCTAATAAGAAATCTATAAGTTTAATCTTTATCTTTTAAAATCTTCTTTATCTTAAGATTAACTTACTACTTTTATTAAATTAATTAAACTATTTAGAATATAATAATTAAACTTATAAACTTTATAAATAATATTAAGTATTTGCTACTAAAATTATAAGTACTTTAAAAGCTTTAGACTAAATAACTAAATAGTTCTAGTAATAAATACTAGTTATCTTTACTATAAAAAAAATTAGTATAATATAAATAATTTAGATATTTAAAGAAAAGTAACTTTAAGAAACTAAAGTTAAAAATAAAATAAATAAATATAGAGTTACTACTATCTCTTTATATCTAAAAAGTTTATTTAAAAGAATAAATATTCTAATAAGTTAATATATTTAGATACTTACTATTAGTCTACTTTAAGACTTATCTAAAGATATAGTTAAAGATATTTAATATATTATTTACTTTTACTATAATAAAACTAAGAAAGTAGAATATTATCTAATAAAGTATAAGAGTAATACTCTAACTTATTTTAAGCTATTCTAGATAAGCTAATAATAATAGATTATATATCTTTAAAGTAATAATATAAAGAAGTTTATCTTTAAAGCTTTTTACTAATACTTAGTAAAAATAGAGGTTTACCTTAAAATATCTATACTATATAATCTTAAGATAATTAGTATAGTTAAATAAGTTAGTAGAACTCTCTAAAAATTATTAAAATCTTATTATAGAGCTTTAAGTTTAAGTAAAAATAATAACTAGAGCTACTTTAAATAGTAGTTTATTTATAAATATATATATTATCTTTATAATACTTTAAGCTAAACTTTATTTAAGATGTTATATCTTTATAAACTATTTATTAATTATTTATAGATTATTAGTTTTAAGATCTAGTATCTAGAAGAAAAAATACTATAAACTAAGCTATAAAAAAAATTATAGTATAGAGATAACTTATTAGCTATAAAGAAGATTATATCTACTATATACTTTTTAATAAAGATATAATAGTATATTAAGCTTATAATATTTATATTATAAAGTATCTACTATTTACTATTAAAGAGCTAACTACTAAACTTATTATTTAAGAATATCTAAATATCTACTTTTACTTTACTACTAAGTACTATACTAAATAAAAGATTACTTAAATCTAATAGTATAATATATATAGTAAAATAATCTTAAATTAAGCTAATAGATAATAATAAAGAAAATACTTAAATCTATACTAGCTAATAGAATAGAAAAAACCTTCTAGTATAATCTACTCTAGATAGCTCTATAGATAGTCTTATAATACTTATATTATAGTTAATAGTACTATTAAGTTAAACTTTAGATACTAATCTAATTATTAAAAAATAATCTAAACTCTCTATAATACTAGTATAGTAATTTAAAAGCTAGATAAACTAAATAAGATTCTTAAACTTATTACTAAAGTATTACTAGCTATTACTAGCTCTACTAAATTATTTAAGTCTAGATACTATAAGAAGATAATATTTTAGAATAATAGTAATAAATAAATAGTTACTATAAAAGAGAAAAAGAACTTATTAAATAAAAACAATAACTAGTTACTAGTAGATTCTTCTATAACTTATTATATTTTACTAGAATACTAGGTCTATAAGTATAAAAGAGAACTAAAAGATAATATTATCTAATAGAAAGTCTAATGGATAGTATATAGTAATTAGTAAAAAAGAAAAGATTAACTATACTAAGATCTTTACTATAATAGTAAACCTTATAAGATATAAGCTAATCTTTACTATTACTTCTACTTTAGACTAGAAAATTAACTAAATAGATACTAAAACTACTTTCTTATATAGTATAGTTAAAAAGATAGTCTATATAAACTAATCTACTAGTCTTAAAAATATTATAAACTATATCTATAAGCTTAACTATATACTCTATAGACTAAAAAAGTACCTTAAGTATAGTATAAGACTCTAGCTAAGTCTCTTTAAGAGCTTTTATTAAAAGAGTATTATTATTACTTTCTATATTAATACTCTACTTATCTTTAGTTATAATAATGGTAAAACTAATAATACTAAGAATACTTTAAATAAGTAGTTCTAGATATTTAACTTTAGTTTTATTAGTTTTTATTTAGATATAACTATTACTTAGAATTAAATTAACTATATACTAAGTCTAGATTAGTAATTCTATATAGGTAAAATTATCTATAACTTTAGTTAGTAAGATACTAAGTCTATAAAAATACTAATAGAATCTAATACTACTACTCTACTATCTATCTTTACTAACTACTAAACTCTATAAGACTTTATTAAGAAATACTAGTAAATTATTAGTTCTCTAATATATACTATACTAGACTTATATCTTAATATTATCTTCTCTATATATATAGTTAGTTACTCTATATTTAATCTAACTTAAAAATATATATAAACTATATAGTAAATCTTATAATATCTATAAAGTACTTTAAAGTATAAACTTATTTTTTAAGATAATCTTTAGTTATTTATAGATTACTTTAATACTAACTAGACTAATAATAATAATAAATAGTAATTAACTAGTAGTTTTATCTTTAATATAAGTAGTATAATAGTTAATTAGTCTTTAAAAAGATAATCTACTATAGTACTCTTATTCTATAAATTTAAAATAATAGTCTAAATAGAGATACTAAAGAAAGCTATATAGCTTTAGTATTTATTTACTAAAGTAATTTAGAGAAAATAGATTATAGTTATTATTTACTATAATAATTAAAGAGTTATTACTTTAACTAAAAATAGCTAGTTTTATTTATCTATAAAGTATATTAATATTTATTATAAGTAGATATAGAAAGCTATAGTAGTAAAATAGATAGTTTTTTAATATATTTCTGTAGTAGATTAAGTTATTAATAGACTTATAAAACTACTAGTAAAAAATAGGTTTAGATTCTTCTAGACTATAATTAGTATTAAAAGGTTTAATAAAAACTAATTATTTATACTTAGAATCTCTCTTTCTCTAAATTATTACCTTTTATTTTTTTAATTAATATATATATTATAAGAGTCTTTTTAAGGTTATATTTAACTACTTATACTCTAATAGTACTATAGTATTAATATATATAAAAGGTAAAGTCTTTTTAAATAATAGTTAAGTAATTATCTAAAGATTTTTTAAAGTAATTTCAGACTTTTCGAGTAATTTTAAAGTTTTTTAAAAGTGTATTAAAATATAATTAAATAGTTATTAGAAATATATTTAGTAAATATTTAGACTTATAACTTACTAAATATTTCTAAAAGTCTTAGTTATAAAGTTCTTTAAATATTAGATAATTATTTAATAATTATCTAATAACTATTAAATACTTTTATATTATACTCTAATACTTAATAATAGAAGTAAATATATAAGTATTTATTATAACTTTAATTTTACTAAAGATTTATTTAGTAGTATTAAGTCTACTACTAGCTATATATTCTTTTTAGTAAGAGAACTCTTTAGTTAGAAAACTAAGCTATAATCTATAGTAGATTTAAGTACTATAGAAATAAAGTATATAGCTACTAAGTATTAATACTATTACTAAAGAAGCTATATATATAAAAGTCTTAGTAAAAGAACTAGACTTTTATAAATAAAATAAATTTTTACTATATACTAATAGTAATAATACTTTATTATTAGAATAAAACTCTATTTTCTATAAAAGAATATATAGTAAGTAAATATTACTATATAAGATACTTCATATTAAAAGATACTATAGACTTTATATATATATATATTAATAACTAATTAAAAAGCTAAAAATTTAACTAAAGCTTTAAATAAGTCTAAATATCTAAGTCTTTTAAGACTTATAAACTATATCTAGTTTACTAAGTTTTTAGTTAAAGTAGAATAATTTATATTTTAACTATATAACTTACTATTAACTAAGTAAAACTAGTTATATTAAAATATACTTATTATACTTATTATAAATTATATTATAACTTAAGTAAATACTTAAAAGCTATACTTAATATAAACTATATTAAAAATTATATACTATAGAATATATTAACTATAATTAGTATACTAGTATACTATAAAAAATATAAAGCTTTTACTACTTAAGTTAGTTTTTCTTATAAAATAAGAAAAAGATAAAATTAAAATTAAATTCTATTAAGAGATAGTATTAGCTTTAGATAGATAAAATAAAGTAATAGATACTTATATTATCTTTCTTTTATTACTTAATTAGAGTTACCTAGTAGTTTTAAAGTTTAAACTTAGACTATATATTCTTATTATTTCTATTTAATAGAGATAAGAGAATATTAAGAGTAATTCTTAGAAATTTAGTAAGTATACTTATAAATATATATAGTACTATTAACTATAATAGAGTATTTTATATTAATACTTAATATAAATATTATTAGTTAGTTATACTATAGATTAATAAGTAAATATAAGATATTATTAGTTATCTTATAGATTACTTAGCTTAGCTTTAAAGCTTACTAATAATAAAGTTATTATCTATATAGTAGAATAGTTCTCTATTAGTTTTTAGTTCTTTAAGTAAAAATATATACTTTATATATATTACTAAGTTATATAGTCTTTATTACGTAGCAAAATTCTAATTTAACCTTAATATACTATTCTCTATAATATTATACCTCTATATTTACTTCCCCTAGTATTAAAAGCCTTGCGGTACTATACAGTACTGCGCTCTCAACTTCCTTCCCATTTAACTCTACCCCTACTGTGATTGTTCCGCTCGGATGCTGAATAGTAACATCTTTTTTAGTACTAACGCCCTTCGCTAGCATAAAAGGGATCGTTCCCTCTATCTTACATGCCGCTCCCAGATTCAATGCTAGGGTCAGCGGAATTGCTTTATGTGTTTGCCCCATCGAGAGAACGAGACATTGTATATGTATGCCCTTTGAAGCTGCCTCTGCTGTTGGCGGTAAAACAATGACAATTTTAGGTACGCTCGCGATGTCCGGATCCAACCCCATTTTTTCCGCACCCTCCCTGCGAATCTTCTCCAATAATGCCATTTTATAGTGTAGCTTGTCGAGATCTGGTGGAGTCGTGCTAGAGTCCAGTCCAAGCACCCGGCCATCGACGTGAACTCCTGGATTGGCAAGGTCGATTAAAGTGGCGTGTATTCTCGATCCCTGTTCGTCTCTTGTGTCCAAAATGGTAGTGCTACTACCTGTAGGAAGCGTATCATCTGTTTGGGTTCCTCCTGGAGAGATGAAAGACAGGCAGATTCTGGAAGCGGTACCTGCAACGCCCGCCATCTCATATGCCCCTCCTGGATGGAATTTCAAGGGATGTCCGGAGACTGAAAACGTGGAGTGAATCACCTTTCGTGTATTGGTGTTGAATATGCGAATAGTACAGGATGTAGGACCCGGACTCGATCCCGTTCTTATTGGTTTCTTTACCAAGCCATTATCAATCGAAAATGGGCCGATCGCAGCAGTCATGTTGCCGCAGTTGCTCGCCAGGTCGAGCTGGCCATCTTTGATGACTACTTGGACGAATTCGAAGTCAACATCAGCATCCTGTCTTGTGGATGGGGATACGATGCATATTTTAGAGAGCGACGACACTCCGCCACCCATGCCGCTCAGTTGTCTGCCGTATGGGTCGGGTGAGCCCATGGCGGCAGCAAAAATTGGTTGCCATGATGCGCGATTTTCGGGAAGGTCAGCTTTGTGGAAGATGAGGGCGTTGCATACGCCTCCTCTCCAAAAGGCAGCACGAAGGACTGGCATTCTAGAATAGAAGTAATGGTGTAAAGATGATAGTGAGATGCGTTACAAATAAATGCGGTCGGTAGATAAAGGCGGTCGGTAGAAATGTCGTTTTTATACAGTAGACCTAGTAAGTATCGAAATTTTAATAAGCCGATATTATATTATCTCTAGCTTATCTTTCTTTAGTAGTAGTAGTAGTAGTAGTAGTAGTAGTAGTAGTAGTAGTAGTAGTAGTAGTAGTAGATTATACTTACTAGTAAAGATAGTACTTAGTATAAGTAGTCTATACTAAAGTTTATATATATATAACTTATATTATAAAATAAAGAGCTATAACTTTATAATTTTTTTCTCTTTAGTAAATATAAACTATTATTAATAAATATACTATCTTAACTAAATATATAGATTTTTATAATAATATATATAATAGTTTTTATTTTATAATTAAAGATAAATAGTATATAGATTTAATAATCTTTAAACTATATAAAAATAAGATTTATAGTAGTTTTTAATATTTATTAAAAATAGTTTAATAATAACTAATTTAACTTTCTAGTAAATAGAGTATAAGCTCTTAATTTCTATAATTAAAATAGATATAATAGTATATATATTTAGAAAAGACTTAATCTAGAATATAAGACTATATAGTATAATAGTATTTAATAATTTAAAAATAATAATAATAATTAAGTAATAGTCGGTAGGTTCTTCTATTACGTATACCGCTTATAGTTAGAGAAAGTAAGTATCCCGGGAAACTAAGTATTCTAGTTCGCTTTTAACAAGTATTTTGTCTTACTTCTAACTTATTATATTATAAAAAGTAGCTTAGATAGATTCTAAAGGTCGAAATACTCTTATTTTCTTATAAGATATTAAATATAAGAAGTATAAGTTAATATATTAGTAGTTCTCTTTTTTACTTTATTTCTTTACTCGAAAAAGTCGATTTATAAGCGAGATCCTTATCGGAAATCCTTATTAGATTCGAGGAATATAAAAATTAAAGAAACCTTTTTTACTCTTTTTCTTTATTTTAGAATAACCTTATAAGAAAAAGACTTATAAATAGATTATATAAATTCTTAGTATCTAGAGATACTTCTATTAAATTTTTAGCTAGTACCGAGTTCGAAAAGTCGGGTTTTTAGCTATATTTTATTAGTTTTTAGAAGTTAAGCTAGAATACTTAGTTTCCCGAGATACTTACTTTCTCTAACTATAAGCGGTATATATAATAGGAGGACCCGCCGACTATTAAAGACTTTAATTAATTTATTAAAGAATAGTATAAATTTAAAATAACTAATAACTTATTAAAAAAATAAGTTAGTATATTAAACTTTAAACTATAAATAAGTATTATTAAATTATATAGTAAACTCTTCTTTATAATTTATTTTAGTTCTATATACTATTTATTTATAGAGTAAGAAGAGAAAACTTAGCTAGAAATACTTTAAGTCTAGACTTATAATCTATTAAATAGTAAGAGAGATACTTTAATATATTAAATATAACTATAAGTTATAATAAGATTAACTAGACTTATATATATAAGTAAGACTCTTTCTCTTTACTTAAGAGAGTAATAAAAATATAA